TGTTCACGGACGCGTCTCTGGAGGGATGGGGGGGGGTTCTGCACCAGAGCTCTGTGGGGGGCGCCTGGTCAGGCCCTCTTCGTCACATCAATCTGCTGGAGATGGAGGCGGTTCACAGGGTGCTTCTGCATTTCGCTCCACAACTAGCGGGGAGACACGTGATGGTGCGCTCAGACAACACCACAGTGGTGGCGTATCTGAACCGGCAGGGGGGCACGAGGTCCCCAGCCCTCCACCGACTGGCAGCGACCATTCTGATCTGGGCTGCAGGGCATCTGCCATCTCTGAGAGCGCGTCATGTTCCGGGAGACAGGAACACAGGGGCGGACATAATGTCACGGGGAGGCCCTCTCGAGGACGAGTGGGGCCTCGACCCGCAGATGGCAGCGGAGGTCTGGCAGAGGTTTGGTCGGCCTGTGGTCGACCTGTTCGCCAGTGCAGACAACGCGCAATACCCGCTCTGGTTCGCACTGAGACCCACGGACAATCCGCCTCTAGGGGTGGATGCCTTGGCTCATTATCCGTGGCCAGGGGGCCTGTTGTACGCCTTCCCCCCCCCTCGTCTCCTACCGATCCTACTGAGGAGGATCGAGCAGGAAGAGCGGGAGGTAATCCTGGTCGCCCCAGACCGACCACAGGCCCGTTGGTTCCCGTTCCTGACCAACATGTCTGTGATGGACCCGTGGCCTCTCCCGGACGTGCCAGGGGGCCTGGTCCAGGGAGGGGGGACGCTTCGCTCCCGCCCAGTCCTGGGCCACAGGCTCTGGGTTTGGAAGCTGAGAGGCAGACCCTAGTCCGACTAGGCCTCCCCCGGGCGGTGGTGGATACCATCCAAGGGGCGAGGGCACCTTCCACCGTGAGGGCTTACGGGTGCCGGTGGAAGCTTTTCAAAGACTGGTGCGCGGCCCACTCGTGGGACCCCAGGTCTTGCCCTCTAGAGGGCGTCCTGGGATTCCTGCAGGACCTTTTGGATAAGGGCAGGGCCGCTAGTACCTTGGCTGTGTCCGCTTCGGCCATTGCCTCTGGTCACGAAGGGTTCGGGGGGTTTTCAGCCCGCTCCCACCCGTTAATCAAACGCTTCCTTCGGGGGGCCTACAGGAAGAGGCCGGTCCTTAGACGAACACCTCCGATCTGGGACCTCAAGGTGGTTTTGAAAGGGCTGTCAGGGCCTCCTTTCGAACCCCTGACCCGTGCCAGCCCAGAATGCGTGGCCTTCAAGACCGCACTCTTATTGGCTCTGGTATCAACCAAGAGGGCGGGAGAACTGTGCGCTCTTTCCATCAGCCCGGCCTGCCTGTCCTTTGGTCCGGGGGATGGGTTGGTGGAGTTGTGGCCCAACCCGGCCTTTCTCCCCAAGGTCGTTTCCTCAACCTTCAGGTCCAGGGGTCATACGGATCAGACCTTTTCACCCTCCGCCTCACGCCTCGCAGGAGGATGAGCAAAGACACCTGTTGTGCCCTATCAGGATGCTGAGGCATTACCTGGAGGTCACGTCCTCTTTCAGGCGCACGGATCAGCTGTTCGTGTGCTTGGGGCCTAAAAACAGAGGCGCCCCGTTATCCTCCCAGCGGCTGGCCCACTGGGTGTCCCGGGCGATTCGCTCGGCGTATCAGGCCCAGGGGATGGTGCCCCCGGTGGGGTTCCGAGCGCACTCCACTCGGGGCGTGGCGGCCTCCACAGCTCTGCTACGAGGGGCCTCGGTGGAGGAGGTACTGTATGCCAGGCTGCGTCTTGGGCTTCGTCTTCCACCTTTGCTCTGTCTTACCTGGTGGATGTTTCAGAGCGGTCGGTTGCTCACTCCATCCTGAGCTCTGGGACTGATGCGACCGTGTCTGGCTCTCTCTGAGGCTTCTGCGGTCTATGTTGTCTGGAGCGGCCGGCCCCTCCTGGAGCTCTTGATAGAGGCGTCCTGGGCTCAGCCTTCTCCTTCTTCCTTCGCGGCTTTGTGCAGTCCTCAGGTGCTCTTGGTAGAGGCGGCCTGGGACTGTTCCTTGTTCCCCTACGGGGGCGCGCGCGGTGTTCCTCAGGAGCTCTTGATAGAGGCGTCCTGGGAAGTGACCTTCGCCCTTGGGCGTTTGGTCAGAGACTTGGCTGTTCCTGGAACGGCCTCCCTCTTGGATTCTGTTAGTGCTTCGGGCGTCCTTGATAGGAGCGGCCCTACCACTGCTTCACCTTTGAGCTTATCCTTGGGCGTCCTTGATAGGAGCGGCCCCATCACTGCTCATTCCCTGTCTGTCTTGAGTTCCCACACCTTGGAGGTGTTAGGGCCTACTCGGCAGGGCTCCAATCACTGCTAGCTGGCCTGATGGGAGTACATACTCTTAGGCTACGCTTCGTTACCCAAAGCGAGCCTAAGGGGCGTAGCACTATGAAGTAGAATTGTTAGTTACCTATTGTAACTGTAGTTCTACGAATAGTGCGTAGCCCCTTAGCTACGGGCCCATCAGTCCAACCTGGCTTTGGCGAGTTCAAAGTGAAGAGCATGGACTGCTGTGGGCTATTTATAGGAGGTTCTGCACAGTGATTGGAGCATTGAGTTCTCTCTGGCGGGAAGCTGGTGCTTCTGGAGTCATACCCAAAGCGAGCCTAAGGGGCTACGCACTATTCGTAGAACTACAGTTACAATAGGTAACTAACAATTAACATTTTATAGTAAATTAAATGTGGTTGTTTTCCTGAGAAAGTACTGTAGATGATGTATAACATGCCATGGAAGTCCATAACCATCAATGCTGCAGGTTAGAAAATAATAAAGGTTGTACTTCAGTTAGAGCATAACGGGTGAGAAGCCATCCTTTGTTTTGAATAATCCCTGTACGACTGAGAACCAACACAAACTTATAATTGAAAATAATTTTAGGGGCCACTAAAAATTGTTTTGCGGGCCGAATTTTGCCCCGAGCCTGAGTTTGACATGTCTGCCTTAAGCCTGGTTCACACGAGACAATTTTAAAATTGTCGGCCAATTTTTTCTCTGTGTGAGACCCCACACACGGAGATAAAAAATCAAGGGTCTAACTTCTTTGGTCGCACAGAGTGTGGTGCGCAGCCACACGGAAAAATTACGCACACATCACACACAAACCGATTTCACCCCCGAGCATTCCCAGATCAGACCGAAATCTCACAAAATCTCTCAAAATCAAGCTTGTTTCAGAGTAAACAATCATGGCGGACCAAGAGGATGCAGTGGCGATAGTTTGTTTTTAGCAGAGAAAAGACGTAATCAAATGAAGAGGATGGTCAAACATCGTGATATGGAGGGGAGATGTTTTTTACGGTGTTTCCTCGCCGCCTCGTCTCGTCTTCTGATTGGCTACACGCCGCAGTCATGGCAACGCGCTTTGTTGTGTGTCCAAAATCGGCCCCATTATCCTGTCGTGTGAACCAGGCTTTAGACCCTCCTGTATCAACAAGGAACAAACCTCGGGGGAGACCCATATTGTCCAAATGCAGGTGGTCCACCATCACTCTGGGGTCGAGCTAAAGTTAGCAATGCCTTATCCAGCTAACATAACACATCCATGGGTCAGACGCTGTCAAAACTCAATTTAATTCACATTTTAAGACTTTATCTCTCTCATACAGCTCCTTCCTCTTTAAAGAAATGACACGCCACTCAACAAATATTAATCCTTTATGTGCGCGATTTTTACACTAATTAAAACATGAAAAAGTGCTTTATCGTCGGTTACAGCTCGCCGGAAGCCAATTTTCCAAAGTAATTATTGGCATTTCATATCAGCCACTCACACAGAGCCGGATTAAAGAACCTATTTCACAACACGGAGCGATTCTTTGGAGCGATTTCTACAATGACTTTTGCAGACGTCGAACGCTTTTCTGCATGCTAAGAAGTTCCATAGTGTGTGGCGTCTAAAGAAATTATACACTTGGTCCGAAGCTGTGAGTTAGGGGAAGCTATTTGTCAGACTGTACAACGAACAGTGAGGACTAACAAACACTGGCGACCTGACCTCCAATGTACTCGATGTTATACTTGCTTCTTTATCAAGCTAAAGTTAGAGAGCTTATGTTTTTTTAGTAAAGAGTTATTGTTCATATATATGTATCTCTTCATTCCTAAAGTTCTGTAACCGATGATGCAACACTGAAATTTCTCCACTGTGGGACGAATCAAGGATCTCTTCATCTGAATCTTAAAATCTGGGAAGGTCTAAGGTTTCGACAAGATTGATTTGGTGAAAAAACAGGCAAATATTTCATAACAACTAGGTTCAAATAAGGAAGTACAAGACGATCGAGATGATAAAAACAGAAATATCAATCAAATAAATACAGAATTACTTTTTGAACCGATTTTGAAAGGTTTCCACCAATTTTTCAATAACCCCGTAGCACCCTCGGCTACAAATATGCAACATAAAGTGCAAAAGTTATGGCAAAATAAGTATGAAATTTGGGTAAATGCATGAACTAACGCAATGTAGCCAAAAAAGCTAATATGCTACGTAGCCCAATTTGGTCATTGAACGCTGCTTTCCAGAAACTGCACATATCATTTTTTCCAACAAATATTTTTATGTCGGGGTTCTTGAGATTTGAAAAAGACAGAATGGGTTGCACCAAAAGCACAATTGTAAAAAAATTATAAAATATGAGGTAAAAATTGCTTGAATGGAGTGGTTTTTATGTTCATCTAAAAATATTCTGACTCTAGATCTGCCGATGAGAAAAATCCATTTAGTCTTTGCTCAAGAATTGTTGTTTTATTCCAAAGGAGACATTTCTTGTGTTTTGCTTTGTCCCATTGGCAAATCTTGTTGTAAGGCTTAGCAAAAATGTGCTTAAATTAAGAATCAAAAGGTGAGCAATTTTTTACTTATTTTTCATCAGTTTTTGCAGTGATTCAGTGAAACCTCTGGGAAGTTTCTACAGCGTGTGGCGTCTTAAGAAATAAAACTATTGGTCAAAGCTGAGAGTTATGGGATGCGATATCAGCACAGAGGGAAAGCTATTCGTCAGATGAAAATACTTACTCAGAGGAATCGATGAAGTAGATGACCAGGGCGCCGATGCTGAGGGCGAAGACCAGGACGACCTGCGAGGGAGAAACAGAACAGGGTCAGAAATGTGTGACTTATGGCCGTGATAAATCATGAGAAAGTAGTGGGAGTCCAGAGACGGAGGCCTGTGTGTGTGTGTGTGTGTGTGTGTGTGTGTGTGTGTGTGTGTGTGTGTGTGTGTGTGTGTGTGTGTGTGTGTGTGTGTGTGTGTGTGTGTGTGTGTGTGTGTGTGTGTATGTGTGCGTGTGTGTGTGTGTGTGGAGGGAAGCAGTAGTTACATGTGTGCCAGTCCTCCCACTTAAAAAGATGAAAAGATGTCTGTCATTTTCATCATGGGTCTATATCAGCTATGAGAGAGGAAATGGGGAGAAGGAGAGACCAGAGAGACGCCAGCGAGAGAGACCAGAGAGAGAGGCCAGCGAGAGAGACCAGAGAGAGAGGCCAGCGAGAGAGACCAGAGAGAGGCCAGCGAGGGAGGTCAGAGAGAGGCCAGCGAGAGAGACCAGAGAGAGGCCAGCGAGAGAGACCAGAGAGAGAGGCCAGCAAGAGAGACCAGATAGAGGCCAGCGAGAGAGACCAGAGAGAGGCCAGCGAGAGAGACCAGAGAGAGGCCAGCAAGAGAGACCAGAGAGAGGCCAGCGAGAGAGACCAGAGAGAGGCCAGCGAGAGAGACCAGAGAGAGGCCAGCGAGAGAGACCAGAGAGAGGCCAGCGAGAGAGACCAGAGAGAGAGGCCAGAGAGAGAGACCAGATAGAGGCCAGCGAGAGAGACCAGAGAGAGGACAGAGAGAGAGACCAGAGAGAGAAAAGAGGGAGGCCAGAGAGAGGCCAGAGAGAGGAGAGACCAGAGAGAGGCCAGAGAGAGACAAGAGAGAGGCCAGAGAGAGAGAAAAGAGAGGGAGAGAATTGTTGTGAGACGACCGTTGGGATTTAGGACTATATTTTCTGTGGAAGTCTACTGTTATTATTTCACATTCTAAAAAACAAAATGGTGGCATATTTCCTCTTTAAAGCTAGCATAACAAACTGTATTTTTTTCTTTAAAAATATACATTGTTTGTCCCAACAGAAGACGGCCTGTACAAGTGAAAAAATCAGACCACACGACCTCCTTTATCTCATTAGAAGAACCCCGTGAGTCACTATTGAGGTTCTGGGATCTGATTGGCTAAGTGAGGGTAGTGGGTGGTCCTAAAACACACAAAAACTATTGATGGAGACTGTTTTGAGAGTGAGGAACTAGTGACAGGGATTTTACTACATAGATCATTGTGGAGGGAAAGTTACATACCCCAGCTTTAAAATGCACTTTATTTTTTTAGTTACAACATGACATTTGGTCAAACTCACTCTGGACCTGTAACCATTATGTCAAAGCACAGAATTCCCCAAAAAAGGCTGCAACTAACTCCATTTCCTCATGATCCCGCTCTAGTTTTTCACCTGTCTGAGCGCGGCAGACAGAAAACCACCGCGGAGACGGGAAAATGTGACACGTGTCGAGCCCCATTCGTCAAAGGAAGCGCCGTGATGTGAAATGTAGACGGAAAAACACAGACTAAGTGACGGATATCGGCTGCAAATCTGGGGCAGAGGGTTTGAAGGATTGGTTCGGTGTAAAAATGTGACGTATCGGTGAAAACGCAGTTAAATACGCGATAACGACCGAGAAGGAGACGATTGAGAGGATAAAAACAGAAAAACAAAGCATATATATGTTGAATTATTACTTCTGCAGGTAATTGGAAGGTTGTACATATGAATTTCAAGTTTGCTGATCAAAATTAAATACTATTTTTCCATCCAATTTTCATAAAAACTCATCGAATCTCGTTTTACTGACTGGACAATAGTGCGGCGGCGTCTTGGTTTTTGCTCAATAATTGTATCGAGATTTGAAGGAGACAGATAGGTGTCTATTGGAAGAATGATACAAATTATTGTATTAATTATTTCAAAAAATAAAATAAATAAAATAAATAAAATAAATAAAATAAATAAATAAAATAAATAAAATAAATAAAATAAAATAAATAAAATAAAATAAAATGAAATAAAAAATAAATAATTAAATAAATCCATCCATTTCTGGGTTGGAGGGGTGGCTGTCAGAGCTGCACCCGTTTCAGAGAGCATAGTCAGTCTGATGGCATAGTATTGATATTTAGGCAGGGGCTTCAGGCAAAGGTAGGGTAGGGTTAAGCATCTTGCCCAACGATACGACAGCAGACATCATTGGAGTTGGTGGAGAAGGTCTTGTGGTGGGCTCAGATAAAAAGGCCAATGCTCTACCAACTGAGCCTCTGTCATTGTAAAAAATAAAAAAATAACAAAATAAATAAAATACATACAATACATTAAATAAATAAAATAGATTAAATAAATAAATAAAATAAAATGTATTGTACTTCAAATACGTTAGCATGCTCGACAAACTCGGATTAATCTGGTTCCTTCTAGCGTTAGCTCGTTAGCTTATAAGTGACCCGTCTGAGCGATTTGGAAAAGTCTGCTCTGAACCAGAGAGTGTCCGTCATGTATTATAGATGCTCGCTGCTGCCGCGGTGATGAGGAAACCCTTTGTGAGCGCTCCCGCCGCAGTAATGACAAAAAGCACAGAGCCTGCATTTTTAATCCCAGCGATCGCTCAAAGCCTCAATCTCTTTATGAGTCAGAGACAAAGGACGACGGAAATCTGTGCAGGTAGAAAGAGGACGACCAATCAGGAGGAGGCGGAGGCCATCGCTGCATCAGACTGAGGCAGGGGTCAAACGCACTTTGGATGGACAGATAGAGAGAGAGAGAGAGAGAGAGATTTTGACAGAGATAAATATGAGACAGATAGACCAGAGAAAGACCAGAGAAAGACCAGAGAAAGACCAGCGAAAGAGACCAGAGAGAGAGACCAGGGAGAGACCAGAGAGAGACCAGAAAGAAACCAGAGAGAGACCAGAGAGAGAGACCAGCGACAGATCAGAGAGAGGCCAGAGAGAGACCAGAGAAAGACCAGCGAAAACAGAAAGAGAGACCAGAGAGAGATAAGAGGGAGAGACCAGAGAGTCAAGAGAAAGACCAGAGAGAGAACAGAGAGACCAGAGATACCAGAAAGAGAGACTAGAGAGAGAGAGACCAGAGAAAGACCAGAGAGAGATCAGAGAGCGAGACCAGAGAGTCAAGAGAGAGACCAGAGAAGGACCAGAGAGAGACCAGAAAAAGAGACTAGAGAGAGAAACAGTTAATTTAAACAGATTCAAAGTGTATATATTATTCTGTCCCTTACAGTCACATTAGAACTAACGACAAGGCAAACATCAAACAAACTTGTATTTTTAGGCGGTGCAAAAACATGGCTATGAATAAATACATTACATTAGATATGGACCTGGTGCTGTCTCCCAGCTCGGAGCCCCAGCTCTGGGGCCTAATCCTGCCCAAAGTGCCTCTTTCATTAATATCAAAAGGGTGTGAACGAGAGAGCACACAATGATGTAGCTGCACCAGATACAGTATAGACTATGGGCCGCAGAGTGACATCACACCTGGGTCTGAGGGGAGGAGGGGAACAAACTTTATTATCATATAGGAAGTTTCACATAGGGTTAAGGTAGATAGAGAGAGAGAGAGAGAGAAAGAAAGAATGAGAGAGTAAGTAAGTAAGTCATGTTTATTTATATAGCGCATTCAGATATTGTTGCAATCTCTCCACACACGGTGATGACGGACACACTGGACCATCAAAGCCTCCGACCAACACCATCCATTCACTCAATTACATTCAGACCTATTGTGCATGTTTTTAGTGGTAGGGGAAACCAGAGCACCTGGAGGAAAGCTAGCTAGACACGGGGAGAACACGCAAACTCCACACAGAAGGGCCCTGTTCTGACTGGGATTCGAACCCAGGAGGCGAGAGTGCTAACCACTCAGCCACAGTGCCAAGAGAGAGAGAGGCAGATAACAAGTTATGACAATGTTTCCTCAAATTCAAATCAATGGGAGTCGATCCATCTGTAAAATGTACTATTGTCGACGTAGTGTCTGCTTCAGCCTCAACCAGAACGGAACAACACAATTGGAGCAGATGTGTTCTCCTGCTGATCTCGCGGTGGCAGATTATCAAAACAAAACACTATAACATTACCAGAGAGAAACTAGAGAGAGACTAGAGAGAGACGAGAGAGACAAGAGCAAGATCAGAGAGAGACCAGAGAGAGACCAGAAAGAGACTAGAGAGAGAGAGTCTCTCTCTGGTCTAGTCTCCCTCTAGACTAGAGACTAGAGGGAGACTAGAGAGAGACTAGAGCAAGATCAGTGCGAGACCAGAGAGAGACCAGAGAAAGACCAGAAACGTAGTGTCTGCTTCAGCCTCAGCCGTCTTCTACCAGAACGGAACAACACAATTGGAGCAGATGTGTTCTCCTGCTGATCTTGCGGTGGCAGATTATAAAAACAAAACACTATTACATTTTGGGTTGAAATGCAACGTAACCTTGGAATACCTTACAATACATTACAGTTATTACAGAACTTTTGGAAGACGTTAGTCCCAACACGGATCCAGATTGAATGACAAATAAAACCAGGGTCTTTATAATCCCAAAGACGGAAGGAGCTCCATTGAAAGCAGCAGTGATTGACTCTGTGTCTGTAGAGTCACATTACTCAAAATAACAAAGAGCTGCCAGCGCATAAGGCCACCGTCACTCAGACTGCTGCTGCTTCAGGTCTGGCCACGGGTTGAGATTCTCAGAGAGAGAGAGAGAGAGAGACCAGAGAGAGAGAGAGAGAGACAGAGAGAGAGACAGAAAGACCGCTGTCCACGACCAATGTTTCAGATCATCACTGTACTCAGGGAGAGATACCAGAGATCAGGGAAAGACCAGAGTTAGAGACCAGAGAGATACCAGAGAGACACCAGAGAGAGACCAGAGAGAGAGAGCAGAGAGAAACTAGAGAGAAACACAAGAGAGACCTGAGTGAGACCAGAGAGAGACCAGAGAGATACCAGAGAGAGACCACAGAGAGAGACCACAGAG